AAGTTAAAAATTAACATTACTTAAACCGTTTAAACACATTAGGATTTAGAGTAACTTTTATATTTTTTAGTAAAATTTCTTCGGATTATTTTATCAAACTTACAAAAGTAGATTTGTTACTTTCATAAACAATTTCCGAGTTTCCATTCGTTTTAAGTATGAAAACAATTCATTTAAAAATTATTTATTTATTTTTATTAATAATTTTTTGTGATATAGATTTGAATAATCAAGCTGATATTTTTAACTTTTTAGCCTAAAAACTTCATATAAAAACTGTTGAAACTATGCATAAAACTGCTAAAAATTTATTAATTTAACTTATAAATGTTTAAAACTATTTTAAAAATGTTTAAAATACATAAAGAATTCTATGTATTTGTACTGTACAGTACATTTTATATAAATAGAAGCAGAGGTTGAGAGGATGTAATACTTCCAGGTATCAAACTGCTTTCATCTATCAATAGGATTCTACATGCAATAATTGTTATCTCAATCAAAAATAAAAACTGCTTTCCAGGGACATTCGGGGGTGGTTTCGGAAAATATTGGCAAACTTCCAAGTGGAATATAGTGCCAAGCAATAGTGGACATGTTAGTTCGGTGCGTTAGTCCGTGACGAGTCAACCTCAGAAAATCATGTAGAGGCTTTATAAAATTTTCCTCTTTTATCCTGATGGAATCATTAGAATTGCCATTATCTATAATCATCTCTCATAATATTGCTTTATTGTTTCCGTGACCTTTAGCAGATTGTAATCAAAACAAAGAATTTGTTTACTTCGATGTGTTTAATATGCGAATAATTAGTCGTAAATCAAAAGAACATCTTTTAGATTTCACAGCACGCAATTGCTTCAAAAAATAAACATAAAAAACATGCATATATGAGAAAGAACTAGAGATCGCGATGCTCTCGTATCATGATATTATTCTTTCAAGATATTGTATTGAGATAAGATAATATATTCCCACGTGAGTTCTAATCTGAATGCGTAATCTTACTATATCAAGTTCTCTTCTACTAACGCTTAAAATAAAAAAGTAAATATATATATATATTTACCTGTTTTACGAAACAGTTTGGTGTGTCGTTTAGAGGAAAAGTTTTAGAGGAAAAGTCTTTTTAGATACAAAAACAGAGGTACAATATATAATAGGGTGCCTAAAGGGGAAAACATTGCTATTATTTAAGTTTTCTTTAATCGTAAGAGGGAAAACGAGTTGATCACATATAAATCTAAAACAGTTCGAATGGATATAGAACACTATTTTTAACTTTTATCTCTGACGATTTACGCCAATACTGTAGTTGCGTGATATATAAAAAAAAAGTTTAATGCATTATATGTTTAAATATGCTTTATATGTATCACATTATATAACAGCTTGTAATATGCAATTTTACCTATATAATGGACTAATTTACGTTCATCTGTTATAGTGTTTTTTAATTCTGTAAAAATTGATAACGTTCCTTGTAAGTTAAATTTTATTCTATAATAAAGCAGATATTATAGCATAATATACCCTAGCAGTAGCGTTAATAGTATTAGCTTTAAAAACTTAATGTTTAATGTTCGTTTGTCCATTTGTTTATCCGTACGCATCTAATGAACATCCTAAAAGAGTTCTAGACACGTGCTTATAATTTTCAGAACAGTTTTACGAATCTAAGAAATCCGGTTGTTTCGATACAAAAATTTTGAACAAAATAGAGATAAACTCGAAATTTTTTATTTTATACATACCTTTAATATTGTTTTTTATCAGCCGATATTGAAATTACTTTCAAGTCACTACCTTAGTTAGCTTTTTATATTCTATAGATTATAATATATACGCTACGAAAATTGTGTGTATAACTTTGTTTTCTATAAATTTTTTTTTAATTCTATAGAATGTTATACTCTTTTTTTAACATGGAAACGATAACAAGATCCTAGATTCTATCCATTTACGCAGAAATCTATCCAAAAATAGCTTAATAAATAACGCTTACGTTTAATAAATCTAGTTTGAGTCCCTTTCATAATCTAACCACGATCCTCTCTTTATCAGCATAATGCATCAAGGATTTTCTCACATAAATTAGCTTATCTTCGTCATTTGTCGCTCGGTGGCTACCCTCAGTGAGAAGATGGGAAAGGTAGGGTTACTACATTCGTTGCCTTCCGGTCATGAGATTTAGGTCCGGGTAGGATCAAAGTTCCCTTATCAGAAACTATCATTATCTGAAACGACTAATCCCTTTCTTCCCCTGTCTAATGTTGATGATGTCATTGCAATATGTGATAACACATCGTTGCACACCTTTAGTTATCGCAGCATACGTAGAAAAAAATAATAAAAAAAGTTTTAAAATTCGCATCAAGGAAAGGTAATTTTTAATCAAAATATAAATCCGATTATCCTGATTATCGCAAAAAACTTACCACAAAATTAAATATCAAGATATATTTTTATTTAACACTTTAAAATTATTGTAAATACATACATATATATATATAAGAAGTGTATTTACAATGGCGAACGTAAAGTATATAACTCAAATTTTCGAACAATAGTTTATAAATTAACTAAAATTTGTTCTGGTTAATGAGATTTGTAGTGAAAACTCGTGAATTATCTTAAACAAAACCAAAGATAATAATAGCTTTATCAATACTTGACCTTGAACACAGATTATTCCCTTAAAAATATATAAACCGTTTAAACACATTAGGATTTAGAGTAACTTTTATATTTTTTAGTAAAATTTCTTCGGATAATGAACTATTCATATTAATTAAACGATCTGTTTAATATAAATGAATACCGGAACTTATTGAAAGTATATTAGATGATTTTTAAATTTCCTCTTCGGCATCACTTAATATCTTTGATTTTATTTTTAATATTAAGTCTTAAAATACTAAAAATGTTAGTCGATGAGAGTTTAATGATTTATTGCTATCGAGAAATTTAATTTTTAATTTTAATGATTCTGTTTTTAAATATAGTAATAATTCTTGAAAGGATGAAATTAAAATAGGTAAAAACGTGTTCTAATTTATCTTGCTTGCCTGTTTTTCAGAAATACGTTTTTATATATAAAATATGCATTATTCTAGGTTAGACACAGTGTATAAAAATCAATTAAAATTATAGTTTATCGATAGATAAATTTTAAGTGATAATTTTATCATTTTCTCATAACGAGAACTCTGCTCTTTGATTCTTCCATAATGTGAGAGTATTTAGCATCGATGACAATTCTCAATCCTCTCGAACAGAAATAGAATTGTCTCCATTAATAAATGAAAATTTTTGATTAAATTCATATTTTTTTTATATGTTAAGGTTCAATAAATAAATAAGTAATAATAAGTTACTTTTGTATTATAAACTAATTTAGTTTACGGGAATATGAGAAATAAATTATCTTTTACGAAACAAATTAAATCAACATCAAATCTAATCAATATCACGCTTTGCACCAATCAAACTGTAATTTAATGATATAAATTATCAAGTGTTTGACAGGTTCAAAACTAGAAATATTTATCATAAAACTAAGAATTTAGATGCTAACAAATTACAAAAATTCTATTTTTATATTACGAATTGATTTATATGAGTAATTATAGTTACTTACCTAGCATTTTACTCAAGTCTGCATTATGTAAATCCGGATTTTCATCCGCGAGACGTTTCCTTTCTACTTTGGCCCATACCATGAAAGCATTCATAGGACGTCGAATTCGCTGTTCTTGCGTTCTCGATACCTTCTGTTGAACAGCGGGTGATGCCAAAGGCGATATGTCTGATCCAGAATCAGCACAATCCATGCCAAAATCTGTATTCCTCTTTCCAGCAACTTCACTCGTTTCGACTCCCGGAATCTCTTGGGATTCTTCGGAACTAGCAGCGGGTGGTGTAGCCCTATAACCAGGGGGATAAGCATAATACAAAGGTGAAGTAGAACCATAAGGCATGCTCTGATGTGCCGAATCCTGTTGTTGATGCGGTATAAAACGGTTTTGATAACCTAAGTCTGAAAAGCACATATCTGTTGGAGATTTTCTTATAGGCATGGAGTCCACTGCTTGTTTTGACATCAACGAATAATTTGATAATTCGGTCATATTTTGTTCAGCTGCCACGTAATTCGAAGTCATGGCTTGGGCTGAAACACAGTATCTGAATGCATCCAATGCACGTCGACAAACTATGTCCTTACGCGCCGGCAGCCTTCGTTACACTAGCACTCTCCAACACACGAGAGAATACGAGACATTCGTGCGAACTGGATCATGGGAAAAAGTGACGAAACGGAAGTTCTGACCAATCGCTGCGAGGGGCGTGTATGAGGTATTTGCTGTTCGAAGCAGCTTCCGTATTTTTGTACGAGGACGGGTTCGACTTGACCGAAAAATGGACATTTGATCAATTGTTCAACACCCAAATCTAGAAAATTGTTTTATAATTATCCCTAAACAATAATTTAACGTTAAATTGTTAATAAAACATATATACATACATATATAAATACATATAAATATATATATAAACTATAAATAGTATAATTATCGAATGTATGATAACATCGAAGAAAATTTTTATGATTTATTATATACAAAATGCATCATTAAATATATCGATTATAAATTACTTAAGCGTGAGAAATTTGAATATTATATCAATTAATTTATCTTCGTTTGTATGGTAATATATAATTTATCAAAGGAGGAAAAAACATTCAAAATTTTCAATTTTAATAAAAATTTAAAAAATTTGTTGTGTTTTATATTAAAATTAGTTTTTATCTTATTTTTATGAGTGGAAGAGTAACAAAGTTAAAATGTTTTTATATAATCTTATATTTAAAAATAGTATTTGTTAAATATAGAATCGAGAGAGACTTTTTTGCAATGCACCAAAAGAAAAAGAAATACGCTTATTATTTTGTTTGTAATATAAAATTCGAGCTTTTGAATAAGTAAAACTATATTTAAAGATGCCTAACACGAATATTTAGAGAAATTAAAATATAAAAATATGCATTCTTGTTCGTAGTATACCTACTTTAAGCAGNAAAAGTTTATTCTATATATTTAATTTTAAATTTTTTTTTTATCACTTTAAATACTTTGTTGACATCAGTTTTCTAAAATTCATTCCTTTTAAAGAGTGCATTCACTCAAAAATTTTAAAATTTAATTTAAAAATAGAAGTAAACAAGTGTTAATGTTGCTTGGATTCTTAGAAGAGCCTTAGGTTATTTTGAAAAGATAATAATTTATATTTAACGAACCCAGGTGTTAAGAAAACTTTAAATGGTAATCCCATTTAACGTGGTGGTTAAATTTTCACCTTATTGTTATATTTTTAAAATAAAGAGGACAATCGCCCGCAAGCTTCTCTACAAGGTATTTTAGAAAACATCACGTTACTCATGTGTTCTATGATTATAAGCATTATCTTCCGTTCGATACTGAAAATGCTTTTGAAAATTGACCCAGTTTTTAATATAAAATCAAAATATTCTCAATTATAAGTTTAATAGATATTTTCTTCTAGGAAAATTAATTTTTACCGATATTCATATGTAAGTTTATAGTTTTAGATGTGCATGGATAAGCTGATGTTGATGTTTATGTATTAGTTAACAGTTGTACTGTACTTTTTATACGTAAGGTAAGGTTCTAGGTATTTATATGCTAGCTTATAGTTATAGACAAACTAAGATTTATAGTTATTTATATATAAGTTGATGATTGTAGGTCGGTGTTTTCCAACCTTTTTCGTGCTATGTCCCACCTAAGCCTTTTTAAAATTCTTATGCCCCCCTAACATATACAGCGGCTATACGGTTCATTTAAACTCTGGACAAGTCCATTTTCGAATTGCCCCCGTTAACAATCCAATTGCCCCACGTGGTGCGTGGGCCCACGTTGGAAAACACTGTTGTAGGTGTTTACGGATAAGTTCATGATCACAGTTGATTATAAAAAAATGAAGCTTACAGGTATTTCTTCACATGCAAGCTGATGCATTAGACAAAATAGAGCTAAAATATCTATTATAATTTTAAAAATTATGTTTTACAGTCTTACTCTTAGATACAAGAAATTGTAAGAGATTAAAACAGTTTTTGTATTTTTATTGAAAACATATCCGATTTTTTAAAGTAAAGCCATGTTATAAGATTCGAATATTCTTAATTAATACCTATATGACACTGATTTACTATCTCTATTTACTAAACATAAAGCAATAATAATTTCATAATGCTAAGTTCTTATAAATTTAAATTAACATTTTATTTTCTTGAAATTTTATAATATATTGTGACTCTTAAAAAATGATCTTATGACAGGTAATTTCGAGTATCAAGTTTGATATTCAATTAATTTTAATAAATTATTTCATTGTGAATTGCGTACGGAAATAATTTTAGTCACGTTTAGCGCTAAATATTAAAACGTAGAATAAAGCTGAAGTAAGAAACAAAAGGGTATTTTCCCTGTTTTCAACTTTGACATTAAAATAAAACGCCTTAGACTTTATTTATTATTATTATTTTTTTTTTTAACAAAAATACTTCGTCGCTTGTGTTATAAATAATAACTTTAGTAATATACAAAACAATTTTTGCTTTTAGAATGCATTAAAAAAATGTATTTAATGTCAATAATTTATATAATTAACTAAAAGTGAACAGTCATAAAAATTCAAATTTTTATTTAAAAGCTTCGATAGACCCTCATTATTCTTGCCTCATTATTCTGCTTAAATGTGAACATTTTAAGATAACTTTTGAAGGAAACTTCATATAGACTTAATGTTTAAACTAGTTAAAATCTATTATAAGAGTCAACAGATAGAGTTTTATATTTGCTTAAGGTGTTTACTTTTAATTAAATATAGAAACTTTACTAAGTAAAGTTTCTATATTTAATTAAAAGCTTTTTTACTTAAGATTATTTTTATAAAAAATATAATATATTAGTAATTAAAAAATTATATATTAAATGCTTTAAAGTGAAAGAGAAAATTATATTAAATAAAAAATGATTGTAAAAAAAAATGTAAAGTTGTGATACTCTTTTTAATTTTATAAATTAAAAAATAATATTAGCAAGTTTGTTTGTTTTATATTAGATTCCTCGTAATAAAATTAGTTTATGAAGTTAATATTTGAATTTATTTTATTTGAATTTATCAAAGATATCCGCGAATATTCAATATTATAATAAATTTACAGAAAATTGAGTGGCCAAGCTGTAGACCGCGACCTACTATCGACTTTCGATCTAAAGTTTGATAAAATCCGTTGATGATTATGTTATATATACGTATAGATATGAGTCTATATAACTTATTGGGGTTTTTACATTTGATATTTTTATCAGGATGTATAATTAAAAGAAAAAAATTATGAAGAAAGAGACAATCAGCTTACAACTTCAATGATTAATGGCTATAACTTATAATTTTTTTATTTATATAATTTTAATTATTGATATATATTCTGAAAAGAATTGTATATTATATTTATCAGAGACGTATAAGTATATATACTGACAAAAAATATAATATAGTTAAAGAGTGATATTGTGTATATGACACAATAATTACTCTACTTGTAACATGAAAAATTCACCTTCACAGTCAATAGAACTTTTGTTATATTCAATATTCTTATAAATATCCTCAAAACGTGCTTTAATGTAAAGTTAAAAAAAATATTCTTATATATTTTATTTATAAATAGTGGAAAATAAGCAAAACGTCTGTCTAAACGTTTAATTGCCGGATTTTTTATTTGATTTTTTTTAATAATATAAATACAACGTGGGTTATTTTTTTAACGTATGTAGGCCGAAAGCGAAGTGTCAGAGAGTAGAAAATAGGTAAATTATACAAAAACGTTTAGGAAAAACGTACTACAGATTGAACGTTCGTGCCGATGCATAACTTGATTGATCAATAAAAGAATGCTGACCAAGTTCAAGGTTATAACATTGACAAAAACGCCATCTCGCGTGAGATAACTAGTAAATTTTCGACGTTTAAGCATCATTCTAATCTCAAATAATAAAAATTACACCGGAAGCCGAATAATTAATCCCAATAAGGGTACATTAAGCCCTTCCAGCAACTCTTAATGGGGTGGCTCTTCATCAATTAAACTTAAAAAATTTGAAGGTTAACTTTCTGTGTACCATATATAAATTTTTATAGCTAAAAAAAAACTCGTTAAATATTAATTTTTTTAAGGTTAACTAAAGTTTAATGCTGTATATTTTTTTCCTCTTTATCTTGATTTTTCAACATTTTAAATCTTTGAGTAATGCTTTTCAGCTAGAAACATAACTTTCGTGTATAGAATAGTTAAAATAGCGGAATTATAATGATAAAAGGTATGTAAATTTAGTTTTAAAAGTTAAATTTTATGAAGCATGTGAAAAAAGTTAAGTATAATTCGGATTTATTTTTTATTTTTTCAAATTTTTACTCACAGAAATGACTCTCGTAACATTCATAATTTTCACTTATCCTGTAGAAAATTGAATTTTAATTATACAACAATTGATTTTGGCCTATTTTATTTTAAAAAGCGCCTTTTTAAAACTCTCTTTAAATTTATAAAATCTAAAAAAATTATCTATTGAATTTCCTTGTTAAAAGTTGGAATCGCATAAGAATTTGATATTAAAAATATCTCTAAAAATTAAATTTTAAAATTTTCCCATTTTAGCTTTTAAATTGCTTTGTTTTCGATTAAATTTCCTAAACTTATAGAACATAAAATATTTAGAAAGGTAAACAATTTGTAAATATTACTTACCTTTCCAAAACAAATTAAGAGCAAAATTAAAACAGCTGAAGATGGAAATATATTAAATAAAAAACGGTTTAAATTAAATTTATAAAGAGTTAAAAAAATTAAATTAAATGTGACTTTATAATCTACTTCATCGTTTCAAAATTTTGATATTGAAACAAAATTATTTGAAATATTTAACTTCTCTTACTAAAATCTGTATAATAGACTCTATATTATAGATTTATTATCAAAATTATGTATAGATCATTAAGCCCGATTCCAGTGGAGGTATGACACAAGACTTCCCTCTATCTACCCAACTTCTTGACCTTTAACCATCAAAATTTAATACCATCAATACCCCATAAGTAGAAATAATCTTGCCAAATTTCAAAAGTTTTAGTTCATCCGGTCCTGAGATATAATACCAAATAAACATCAACACTTATACAGAATTTTGTAAGCTTATAAATGCAAAAAATGGAGGGTCAGAATTTAACCGATTACTATACTTTCCCTATAGGATATAAAGAATTTTATTACACTTTATTTTTATATCTTTATAT